GAACCCCGTCAACGTCAACAGATACAAACAGGGGCTGGGGATTTCTGAAAAGAACCCCGTCAACGTCAACAGATACAAACAGGGGCTGGGGATTTCTGAAAAGAACCCCGTCAACGTCAACAGATTCAAAGAAGGCGCCAAATTTTAGTAAAATAATTGGGCTACCAATAATCATTTTGGGCCTGTGAAATAATTGTTGTACTCGCCCCAAAAAAAAAATTGGGGGTCAGCCTTACACTGCGTTTCTTCAAAATCAAACATAAGGAAGAGACCTAGGTAAGTAAATCAAGCAGCTGCAAGGTTAATGAATGTTTTGATTATTCTGTAGTAAGATATTGCAAGGCAAGCATTCAGCCTATCAGAATTGTATCAGCTTCATTAGATATATGTGAAATTGTCCAAACATTAAACTCTGAGACACTTTCAAGAGTAAGAACCAAGTTTGATCTAATTCAGTCATTCTGTCATAAGATATTTGGTGGAAAGAAATCAACCAATCAGAACGTAACAGCCTCAATAAAGTTGTACGAAACACGTTGAGGTCAAACTCCTATGAGAAAATTGAAAAGCAGTATACCTGGCAAGTTTTATAAAATTTGATCATCCCTTCAGAAGATATACGTACAGAGACCAATTAACCAATCAGAATGTATCCGCACAAAATTTGCAGAAACTCAACTCTGAGCAAACGTCTTGATAAGTAAGTAGTATTCCAGCCAAGTTTTATGAAAACGCAATCATCCAGCATGGAAAGCAATCAACCATCAGAAAAACAATCACTAAAATAGGGCGTAATAAACTCCTGATATTAGTCAACACCAAGAAATAATATCTTTTGTACAACTTCAGATGTTGGTGAAAGTTTCATTGTAATAGGACATGAACTGTACATAGGAGAAGATGTCGATCCTGAGAAGAAAAAACGATAAAAAACGCATGTTAACACCACTTGGCAGGCTTGTGATCACAAGTTACATTTTCCCTGTTTATCAAAGAAAGGTGTTTGATTTAAATCATTTGATCAGTAGTTGGAAGGACAAGACAGTAATACACTTATTTTTCTTGAGCAGCAAATCTACCAATAGTCTGAAACCTACAATGATCATATAGTATAGAAAAATGTTTACCAAAGCAAATTCCGTATTGTATGTATATATAATTGTATGTATATATATATTAGCTTGGTCAACAAGCCAAACTACCCACAACATATATTAGACTGGATTTCAGTCTGTATGATCATGTTCTTGCCTATGGTTTTGTTCAGGTCCTTGTGCAGTACCATATTTGCCACAATTAGTGACCCTCCCCCTTCCAGCACCCCTACACCTTTTTCAGGAATAATCAAAATTATATAGACCCCTCCCCCTTACAAACCAGACTGGGTCAGTCAAAATTTCAAAGTATTTACACTTAAAAGCAAAGATTTATGTCTGGTGATCATGGCTGGACTTTCTGTGAAGGGGATGAAACCTTTGACTTTCAAACCTCCAGTCACACTGGGATGTTTATTATGTACTTTCTTGACAACAACAGTTAAGTTGCACAACTTTTTTTTTCACAACTCACATTTTATCGCCCCTTGCTCCTCTCAAAGCCGATTTTGTTATAAAGCACCCGGGGTGTTAATTACAGCGAGTGAAAACGGTTTGTGTAGCCGCAAAACATATCTGCATACTTACTTTGAGATAGAGTTCCTGGTATGACAATGGCGACCAGGAACAAAATGGAAGAAAGTCGATACATTTTGAGATTTGGTAAGAATCTGTTTGCGAAATAAGTCGACTCTGCCTCCTGGTGAGGTTGTTGTTTCTATTGAGGAGTGACCATGTACCACTTCAGTCCATTCACCTTGGCTCACCTGTAACAAACACCAAATAAAAACAGTTGTATTATAATTCCTGTGGAAAAGGCTGAAATTTGAACAAAACACACAAAACAAGAATTCCATGAAACTACATGCATGGGCAAGAATATTGCACTACACATTACGGATCTTTGTTGGAGGATTATTTTATTCTTCATCTTGTGAATCTTTATCAGATGACTAACTTAATTTGTTGGACTAAAAAGAAAACTAAGTTCTGATAATTTTAATAAACTGTCTCAGTCTACCAGAAATCGGAATAGAGAAATGTTGGAACGCAGAGTTCGCCAAAATCTGCATCATTATGTTTGGTACCAGCTTTACCTCAATCATGTGGCAAAACAATGACATGAGTGCTTACTTGTGCCATTTATTTGACAGTTACCAGTAATTATAGCATCACCAATAACTAATTTTGATATGTTGGGCAATAAGCTGTAGCAGGTGTAAATTAATTAATTAATTGGACATGCATAACACAAGTAATGACAATATCTAAAAACTGACCGGCAGCACTCGGTCAGCTGTGAAATCAACAACATGGGTATATTTTTGTGGGGCCCATAAAGAGGTAGGTGCATCAATGACCACAAAACGTTCTGGCAGTATGCAAGTTTGACAGGACAGGTGGCGCTACATCGAGGTTCAATACTGGATTTTCGGACTTAGTCAAAGTGGTGGTATAAAAGATTGAGAGTGGGCACAAAGCACAAGTGCAGGTAGGGTAATCGGAAACAATTTTCTGTTGCTTTATGGATTTTAGCTTTATGATTATTTTTTTTAATTTTCATACCATTTTTATTTTCTCCCATAAAACTCGCCAAAATCCCAAAAAGTTGGGTCACCAGCATTGCATTGCTAAACTAATAACAGTAATGTCAGGATATTGGCTTTTTGTTGCCTTTTTAAATATAGAAAATACACTTTGTTTTGATATTGCTTTATTACCGATTTATTAGATATAGAGTCTGTGTTTCAGTAGACATTGTTTCTGTCATAACATATATAGGTGTCCATCATGGAGGAAACAAAATTCTCTTGCAATTTAGTTGATGCTAAAAGCTATAAAAATTGAAAATGGATTCAAATGGTTTTTTTTAATAACCTGTTTTTAGCCATTTCGTTAAAAAAAACTATAGCACAAAATCATGTCATTTTTCTTTTGAAAGTGAGCCATCACTTTATAATCTGGGAAATTGAAATAAGAGGTTATTAATTCTTCATGATTTATCATTTTCCAGCTGGTTCCTTCATTTCATAAACTAAAAAATATAAAGTTTACTTTCAATTTTAAATGTTAAAAGAAATCATTTACCTTTACGAGTCCAATAATATTAATCCCACTAAGAATACTGGCAAGGAATCTGAAGTCCTGGGTGGGTCTTTCAGTGTTCTGTCAGACAACGTTTCACTCGAGTACAATATACACTATAAGTCATTCTTGTGGTCCATTCATGTTTTAAACTACTCTAATAAAAGGTCAAAGTTCAAGAGTTCAGACTTGTCAAACCTGTTATGAATACCAAGAGAGCTATTTTTGAAATCATACTTGGCAATGTTGTTAAATACTTTAAAACCTACTACACCTTATGTAAAGCCTGTTACGCTGATCATATTGTATATATTAATCACCTATTTATACAAATATAAACATTTCAGGAACCATTGCTCACGTTTTACACTTCATGCTATGTATACTTCATTAATCGGAGGTAAGTTACCAGTGCCCAACTATTTATTTCTCAAGGAGGCTAAATAAATATATTTCAAACCATATTTCGCAATCACCACTGTCTTTGCGCCACACCAATGCCTCCGAGCTGGGACTACACCTATTGGACTGATCAATAAGGGTCTACGCCCAGCTTTTCCAACTTCTTTTACACCCACTTACAAATAATTGTATGGATTTTCAAAATAGCATTTGGGCAAGGCTGGTTCCATTAGGCATAACAATAAAAGGCGTCATGTACCTACACCCAGCTAATCTTTTCTTAGTCACAGAAAGTATTAGTCAAAGAAAATATATAACAGAAAACATTAGTCAAGGAAAATATTTACAAGCTAATATTTAATTTTGCTCGCATACAAAAATTACAAGGAGTGAGAAGATTGTATCATAAAACGTATCCTAAAGATGTCTATTTCTGGTTACAGGGATTATCTATACCAGACTTGTATATATACATACAAAAATAATATGATAATTCATATTTTATCTTATACATTTTTTATTACAATTTGATTGCTTCCCTTAATGAAAAAATCTATCTTTATTTTTTAGTGCTGATAATCGTGTTCTGCTAAGAAAGTCTTTCTTTATTATTATATTTCACTGATTGCTTCCCTAGCTAAAAATGGCTCTATTTTCATGGAATGAAGAAAAAATAAGGAATATCTTCCCAAGTTCAATAAAAATACTGCTATATTTTCCCAATTTATGCAAGAACCACAGGTGCTCAGGTTCTGGAATATATGCAATATATTATCGCACCCATATACTAAGTATAAGGGGGTGCAATATCTAGTCGGTGCGATAATATATCACATATATTCCAGAACCCGAGCACCTGTGGTAAGAACAGGCTATTGTAAAATTTCGGTTGAAAAATCACTGAATTTTTTGGAACTACAAAAGAAATGGATGATTTTTTTTCTGCCAGAAATGGATTTTTCTGCCAACTCTTAGTATTAGTAACCTGTTTTTTCCATTAGTTGCCATTAGAAGTTTACAATCCATATCCGATACAACAGAAGCATTGTACACAATTAATTCCTGTAGGAACTCTATCTAAATCTGAGATTTATAACGATAGAAACTTTATCGTTATAAATCTCTGATTTAGATAGAGTTCCTACAGGAATTATGTACACAATATACTTATGCATTCAGGGATACTGTTATCAGGTAATAATCACTACAATTTGATATCAGAATCTCTGTCAGGACAACAAAGATCTAAAACCAAGATTATACCCAAGTGTTCCTCAATAGCTGTTACACAACACACATTGAGAAAGATATTGGCTGGTTGAAAGATCCTATGGTGTTTTTTCTTTCAAAACAGGCTGTGACGTAACATTTTTGCATAATTTTGTCTTATATGCCATTTTAAAAACTTGTTTAGAAGATTGATGGACATTTGATTAAACAATTCCTCAAATAGTTTGCGTGCCTCTTTTCCATTTCATTTCGGAAGTATTAGTTTACCGTGTTGATCTAAACCCCTAAAACGTCCGACACCCCCTAAACATCAGGAGAGGTACGTCCAAACACTAATTACCGTGTCCCATTCAGCAGATTGGGAATATCGTGGTAGGACCAAAAACTGACTTGTTGAACAATTTGCCGAACTGATAACTTTTTGAAACTACCTGATGTAAATTCGGATCCCCAGTTAACCGGATGGCGACCACATTTCCACTCAGCTACTCACCACTACCTGCCTACACACCTCTTTCTTTTCACTAACATGCGGGCGATGGAAGTCGTGCATTTCGCACGAGCGAACTCGATGTTCATTGGTTAATAGAACTGAGGTAAGCTCAGACTGGCCACGCCCTCAAAGTCGATCTCACGTGTGTTTCAGGTAACATGACATAAACAAATCAACGAACATAATCTTTTTAAAAAAAGTAGAGGGAGTATATAGTTGCCTTGTTTGTTTATTCATCAACTACAATGGACAAATTATCCCAACACTTTATAAAGGATTTTATTTTATTTTATTTTATATACATTAAACTGTTGAAGAATTGTTAGGGTCAGAGGTAAAAACACAACTCTGTTGAAATATATAACACTAACTATTTGACAAATTAACTTTCTTAATTACAAAAATAGAAAAGTCCTGGAAACAAGTTTGGATTAAGCCTTTTCCAATTTTATTAATTCCCATGTCTCAGATAAATCAAAAGATGCCGGGAGAAGGAAGGGGGAGGAGGGCCTCAACCACGTGTGTCAGGTCGTTTCGCCCTAGATCCCGTTCGCCCATGGTCGTTTCGCACTATTTTGTTTCGCCCTAAACAACGGACTTTGATACTCTAATATAATTCCGTTGATCTGACAACCAAACATGAGTTGTTTCGAATAGCCTGTTAAAATGACCACTTTAAACAAAATATCATAATTAACAAACACCACACACACACACAAATGTACCCCTCAAGCAATAGCAATCTGTTAACACTAATGATCCTAAGCACGGGTAAGTCGTCAAGCAGGACTTTGTTTGAAACGGGAGCGAAATGTAATTTATAAATGAAAATTGTATATGTCCCGAAACGACTTTATTTAGTCCCGAAAAATCTTGTGCCATGACCCGAAACGACTTCGGGACTCCCGAAACGACTTGTTACCGAAACGACCTGTTACCGAAACGACTAGCATGGAACCTTGATTTGCAATCATTGTCCATATTGTCCGAGCCTTAGGGTTCTTATGGAGAAGCTGTTAGATTTTTTTTATCAAATTTGACACACGTGACCTTTAAAGCAGAGCGAAATTATTGAAACATATCTTACAGTCTTCACACCGCGATATTCAATAAATCTGTGTCTTCCTTTTATCTACGATTATATAACCACGGATACAAGTTTCGTCTTTGAGGGACCCAAGTGTTTTTAAGTTCAAGAATTTCTGTTGATCGCATGACTTCCCGATTTCGTGTCGTAGTTATTTTTTGAATATTTTTTTAACGCAAACATATTGTATTTGAAGTGCCAATGACTTTTATTTTGTATGTTAACCGCTTTAGAATCTCAATTGATCACGTCTTATTTTTCGGAGTAAATTTGGATTACTGTAAAAAGTAAAGAAGTCGCGCGACTCCGGCATTCTACAGTGTAAACATTCCTCATCTAATTCCCCAACACCGAACCGTCCAACCATACATTGTAGCCCCAACAGTCCGGCACACCCTCGACCTCACCCTCCCACAGTCTGTCAAACACTCCAAAGGTCACAGTGACAAAATATAATTATATACCCGTCC